CATGCATGCATGCATGGAGGCACACAAGCATGCTGTCCATGATATGATATCATATCATGGCTATGATGGCAGCCACATTTAGAATCACTAGGTCTGTTGGTTCGGTAACTTTTCCCCCTTTATTGCTTTTCCACATCCTGCCAAGGTAGATTTCTAGTGGGGTGAAAATCTACCTCTGTCCAAATGTACAAATACAAGCTAATTAAAAAAACAAAACAAATTTAATCTTAAAGAAAAGTTAAAAATTAGCTTCGGCTAGTAAGCAGTTTAATTCCTTGCATTTAACTGGTTACTTTAAACATAATTGTTGATCTCTCTCTGAACTTAACTGTTTTCATAATAATGGCTAGTTTCTATTGATTAGTGGTTGTCAGTAAGGGGAGGAGAGGAGTTTAATAAAAAGAGAGCATAAAGAGTTTAGGCACTATTAAGATTAGTTAGGTAAAAAACCTGTAATTCAGGGAGAAATGCTGATTCTGGGAACCAAATTATTCAAATCAACAACCTCCAGTCTGGAGTTCCAAAACCAAATCAAACCAAGCCTAAATTATTCACTTTACTTTGGGGGACACCAAACAGGTATGTATGTGAAGTAACACATTGATTTTTTTTTAATCTGCATGCATCAAATAAATTGAAGAATTGGGCTTCTTTCTTTAGCCTAGGTAATTTCTAGAAATGCCAGCAACCCATATCTTTAGCCTCAATTAGTTGATGAAAGAATATTTGTCATTTTTCTTTCTCTGTTTCTTTTTTGGTGAACTGAATGGATAATTTGTCTCAATTCTATGCTTTGAAGCTATGTATACCTATAGAGTATGTGTTGCATGTGTTGACTGCATATTACAGTCATGCACCACTTAATGGCGAGGATTCGTTTTGATAAATGTATCAATAGGCAATTTCATCATTGTGTGAACATCACAGACTGTCCTTACACAAACTAAGACAGTATAGCCTAGCATTGTAATTGTATGTGCTATACTTTTATATGACGGTCAGTACAGTAGGTATGTTTACACCAGCATCGCCACAAACATGTGAGTAATATGTTATGCTATGATGTTACTACATCTATGACATCACTAGATAAGAGGAATTTTTTAGCTACGTTATAATCTTATAGGACCATGGTCATATATGAAGTCCATCATTGACTGAAATGTCTTCACGTGGCACATGACTATATTTTATATTTGTTAATTTTTAGCAAAGTTAATTACTATAGAATAATGGGTAATTTTGAAAATGTTTTGGCCAAAATGTTACAAGCTCATTACTTGATTAACATAATTATACATATTGCATTCCATTGGTTCTAAGACACATATTTTTAGTTGTATCATCTCTGGAACCTAAATGCACCATTACCTTAGTGACAACTTACAATTATAATTGGCAGAGTTTTTTTTTTCCTAGTGGCATGTAAAATAAAGATGCATCATACAATAAATGGCATCTTAGGCTTGTTGTAAAGAAAAAGTGCATGTGTGGTAGTAATCTATGGATAATTTCTTGTCCATGTGGTCTAGGGTAAAGAAAAATGTTTTGTGTCAAGGATCACCTATTCTTCCCTAATACTTCTTTATGCAGGAATTATAAACTATATCCCCAAACTACAGCATGGCTTTTTTTACTCTAAAAGGTCTTGTATTTACAAGTTGCTCACAGTAGATTCCAATGTATTTGACAGAAGGTTCCTATTGCCCTGTCCATTACCAACTGAAAAAGTTACAAATGAAAATTCTAGAAGACTCTCAAAGGCTGAAGCAAGATCAGTTTCCAAATTGGTACCAAAGCTGGTGATGAGTCAAAAAAAAATTGAAAGTTAGTACCACTAAGTGGGATTTAGTTAATATTTTACATTTCAAGATGAGCATGCAAATGTGCAACAAAATGCTGTGCTATATTCATGCTTGTTTCCTGGAAATTTTACACGGCAATTACTATTGTAATGCAGAAAAACCTCTACCACTGACCCCTCAACCGTGCCACACAGTATTTCCAGCCTGAATTCTTTTTATGTCTATTCTCAGAGCCAGGAGTCTTGGAGAGGATTTTAAACATTAGTTTGAGGTGGTATGGGGACAGTAGACAGAAGAGAAAGAATATGTTTAGATTTAATTTTATTTTTAATAATAAGGATTTCAGACAGGAAAAACAGACATATTGGCTCTATGGTCAAATACATGCTTCTTACCACAAGTTTGCTGGATGGAATATATAGAATATATGCACATATCCATATAGCGAATATCTATATTCGGGTTTTTTTGTGTTTTTTTTTTCTAGCAGAGAAGTCATTTAATGGCTGAGGTTAATACTGCTTCACTTTCAGCCCTCTGCTCTTTACCTCATCTCATTGTTCCTGGGAGCATTACCTCACCATCCTATATGTACAATTTAAAGGGAATTACCTATTACTTCAATTATTTGTCCGTTATCAACTGATGTTACACTACAAGGATTTGCATTGAAAGGACACAAAGAAAGAGCAAGTCATGGCACATAGCCAAATAAAAGAGTAATGTTCTGGTGAATTTAGCCTAAATAATTTACTGCTATATAAAAGTGGAAAAGTGGAAGGTGAACCCTTTGACCAGTAAATCTCTCCTGCCCGTGAAACCCTTATCTGGTCCCCTCCAACATATTCCACACGAGGAAGCCATCATCATTGGCTCTGGTTTGTTATTTGTAAACCTTGATCTTCTGCACTCAGTGTCCTAAATATGGATAATTAGCATCAGTTTATCACGCTTCTGCATATTTTCTCTTCTCTCCAAACATGCATGCTTCTATTGGCTGCCATTCTGCCACAGAAGATTATGGAGACAGATTGCAGAGAATGAATGTGCTAAACGAGATTAGGAAGGAATAGAAATAGCAACTTGGCCAATAAATTCCTCGTGAGAGCCTTATCATACAATTACACGTTGACTTGTTTCACACTCTCCCAGCCTCTTAATCCAGCGCCCCCACCAAGAAGAAAATTTCACTAATTTCTGAATTACTGCATATCCTCCTGACTTGTTACCGAGAATGGTTGGAAAGAGAAACACTGCTGAGAACAACACATCGAACTTGAATGTAGAAAAATTAACTTTATACGTCAAAATGGGTGGTATGAATTTAGGATGTTTAAAGCATATTCGCATCTATGAATGAATGCACAAAGCCTTGGCATAGAGAGATATTTAACTTCTCTTTCAGCACCAGATTCTTTCATTGTGTCACTTTTGGGGGTTCAGAAGTGTACAAAGGGGAGGATTACCTTGCTTTTAAACAGAACTATCTGAAGTGTTTCAAAACAGGACAAACTATTTACTTATTTTTTATTGTTATTGCTGACAATAATCGTGACCCCACTGATTAGTCCTGGGTATATCACTTGGCCTCTTTGAGTACAGTCTCTCCCTCACTCAAGCAGGCTGATTCACATGCTATAGCTTCTCATGCACATTCACATATATCAGTAGAATTCTTGCCCACTCTGGGTCTCTTAGACTGTGACCAAGAACGCTATAACAGGGCATCCACAGGGGGAGCTCTCTGCTCCTTCCTCTGCCTGTTAATGTTATTCTCCCCAGGGCTTTTTAATAAGTTAGGTATTTAAAGAGGCCCATTAAGTCTTTTGATTCACCAGGGGACTATTTATAGCATAGAGCAGCAGTGAAGCATTCTGCTTCACCCCAAAAAAGCAAGGCACTGGGGCAGGAGAAAACCCTGAAGGACATGAGGTTATGTTTACTGGAAGGAATGGAAATCCAGATCTAATCTTAAAAAACGATGTATTTGTCCTCACAGAAGAGGAAAGGCTTCCAATCATGGTGGGAAGGATTAATTAGCTAAAGAAATTCACAGCAATGGGCAAGAGTTTTTATGCATGGATCATGATGTTGCCTTCACTTTCTTTTTTCCAAGTCATGTCTGTTAGGATTGACTGAAGAGAGGGCCTTATGCACAATCCCAAGAAAGGATTCCATATTTCAGAAGACTTGTCTCTGGGCTCTGAGTTCAGAGACAAAACTGGACAATATTCATTCAACAAGTATGTATTGAGTGGCTCCTATGTGCCAGGCACTGTTCTGAGACTGTGGGGTATACCAACACACAAGAACCCTGGACGAGCTGACAGTTACAGGTTGCTGGTATGTCTTGACTAACGTTGGTGAGTATGGGTTTGCTTTCTGCAAGCTGGCTGATCTGTTGGCTGCCAGGGAGGTCCTTATTTGGAGAGAGAGCCAGCCTCGAACGTCTTCCCTCCCTCCATACCTTGATAGGGACAGAGGGATCAATAGACCTGTAAGGAAGCCCTGGAAGTGCTTGTCTGAAGATCCTAGACTCTTCATAGGAAATAGTAGCTCAGAGAGTGCCCATCTTCCTAGAACCACATCCAGGAACAGATGTCAGAGGGTGGCAGCCACAGCTTCTAAGAGCTGCCCACATTTCAAGTTCTAAAGTCATCTCTCCAGAACACACACACACTCACACACGTTTTTGATGTTTGAAAAGTTCTACTTTCTCTGCATCCTCCTCTCCTCCATTCAAGGCACCTGTTTTGGGGGACATGAGTCCTGCTGAATGGGGTGAGGGCGACTTAGAGAAGGGATAGGACTGGTTTGTTGTTGTTTCCTAGGGAAAATGTCTTGGAGGCTTTTTAGTGCTAATTTGGGGGACCCTTAGGTTTGGCTTCATCTCTCTCCCTCAAGCAAGGTGTACAGCTGAGACCGACAAGAAGTCCCCAGGCAGGTATCTCACGGGCAGACTTGGACTTGGAGCTCACCTACTGGAGATGGAGGGACCTCCACACCGAAAATGTGAAATCAGATGAGGAGTTATTAATAACCGTTGTCCCCTCCCCTATGTCATATTTCCTAAATTGGTGAGCTAAGTTGGAGGGGTGGACAGGCGGTGAGAGGGAGCCGTTTGCCATTAATCTGGGAACAAACGGCTAACCTCGGTGACTGGTATTTTCGCTTTTCTTTTCTCACTTTTCTCAGTGTGGGGAAGCGGTGGAGCCCGCGCGGAGCGATTGTGAGGGGCTCTGCTGGAATTTGGCAGCGCGGAGGCTTGGAGAGCAGCCCCATGCTGGCTCCTATTCAGCAGGCCAGTTTTCCTCGAGCTTTGGAAGTTTCACTCAGCCGTGCACTCAATGGCTTCACAAAGCTGATTACAAGCTTCAGCGCATTCCTGAAGGAGCCAAAAGCGACGCAGGTGCAAACGAGCCGAGGGAGCCCCTTATCCCGGTGACAGAATGGGACAAGCTGGGAAAGGCTTGGACCACACAAATCCAAGCTCACCAGGCAGCAGAAAGCCTGCCTTGGGAACCGGGGGTCATTATCCGCCCTATTCAGCTGGGCCCAGGGACCCTGGGGGCCTGGGAGGCCTGCCCGGGCGGGAGCGCCAGCGCCAGCGCGCGCCTGGGGGAGTGGGGACCTCGCTGGGCCCTGCGGCCAGGCTGGGGCGCTGGACGGCGGTTTGTGGGTTTACACCGACAGCATCAGTGAAATCCGTCCTCCAAGGGCCACGTCAACACGAGTAGGGACACAGAAGAAAGAGCGTGCTGGAGGAAACCTGGTGCGTGGACAGTGCTCAACGTTTGTTCATCCCGCGTCCAGACCGCACTGCCCTGTCCCAGCCCCAGCCTGGAGCTGCGGGTCCCCGTCGGGCCCTTAGGCCACCGACACTCAGCTCCGAGGGTCATTCTGCGCCTTTTCTCCCCGAATCCGCGTTTCCCAACCGCCCTTGTGGGAATGGGGTTCTGCTGAGGGTGGCCCGACGCAGTGCGTTGGGAGGTAGAACGACCACGCGCCGGGAGCGGGGTCAGCCAGTTACAGGGCCCCCCCAGTCGAAGCGCGGGAAAGGAGGACTCCATCGCTGCGGGTCTGATTCTGAAGCAGGGGCGGAGAACCCATCCCAGCCAGGAGAATGAATGACATCTGTCCGCGCTCAAGGACCGCAAACCAGGGGCTGCAGGCGGCGGAGAAAGACGGGCAGCGCCGCGGGGAGAGCGCGGGAAAGGAGGGACCGCGGGCGGGAGAGAGGGACGTGGGCATTGGAGGGACACGAGGCGGGGTGGGGGCGGAGCAGACTCATGGGTGTCCTCGGGGCGTCCTGCGCCCGCGTAGGATGCCCTACGCCTCGTGCAGGCGAGCGCAGCACTTGAGTCCCTGTGTGGGGCTGGGCCTGGGTCCTGATCGTGTGCGCCCCCCTGCTCTCCGTCCTGCCCGCCTCGCGCTGGGCCGGGTTGCTCCCGGGGGTCCCCGCGGGCAGGGCGCGGGCGGGCCGGGCGCGCACGCCGACGCTCTTTTGTCTGATAACTAATTTGAGTTAATGCGATCTTTATGTAAAGCTAACAGCGGATAATTGTCTATTTTCTCGCCAACAATCTCCATCACAATCACTTATCTGGAAACCTGCGGCTGGATTAATCGTTATATTCCCGAGATGAGCGTCGCTGCAATTCGCAGTGAACGCGGGTGGGAACATGGAAACGCCTCCCCCGCGCTTGCGCGGCGGGTTACCGGCTAGCTCTGTTACGGCCCGCGACCGGGTGTGTCCGGGGGTTAGTGTCCCGCGGGCGGGGCTGCAGGATGCCTTCTCCAGGACTGGCTTTTGTTCGGGCGGGTGGTGCGGGGGTGCAGAAGGCGGAGGGAGGAAGAAGAGGAGGAGGGGACTAGGAGGGGACCAGGAGGAGGAGGATGATCTGCGGGGCTGAGAAGCCGCGCGCAGCCTGGGTCTAGCTGGGCCTGGGCAGTCCCTCGGCGCACTGTGACGCGGCCCTAGGGTCCACCCGGCTGAGGAGCTGTCAGTGTCAGAAACAAGTCTTTTGACCTGGAAGAAAGGATGCCGCCCCACACACACACCTTTTTTTTCCTGCAGAAAAGGTGATCTCTCCCCTCGTCTGCGTTCCTCTGGCTTCATACCCTGCCCCACCCATCCGCTCCCTCCTTAAACCCTTCCCCCAAGACCCCTATCTTCAGGTTCTCCGCCTCTTCAAATTATTGGCAATATTTACTTTCCCAGTGATTGAAATCCCCAACAGGGAAAACCTTGGGTGTGGAAACACGTCCCAGCGCCGCAGTCCCCGCGGCGCTTCCGTGTTATGGGTAAAACACGATGGCAGACGGAATTAAGGCCTCTGGGGAAAAGGCACTTGTATGGCAAAGATTTTGTCTTTCTGAGCTGGAGTCAAAACATGAGTGTCAAATGAAAATCCGTGTGGTGGTGGAGGTTCTCTGCGGGTGTGACTTCCTTGTGCGCAGTAGAGTATAAAGCGATTGACTGCTGGAACCAAGCTCTGCGTTGGGCTGGTCACTTGGAAGTAAACCATTAGATTCCATTTACTTCTACAACTTAGACTTGCCAGCCAAGGGACCACCATCACAACTTTTCAGTGAGGCTTCTGGAAAACAGCAAACTCAGCCTCAATTCGTGACAGTTCTTGACCACATAGGATGGAACCATTCGTTTCCTTTTTGGCATTATAACTCAAACTTCTAAGAGTGGAAGAATGCAGTGAAATAAAATGCCACGAAATTATTGGATTTTTTAGATAAAGGAGGACCCCAAGTTAACCCCAAGATGGGACATTGCAAATTCCTATTAAAATCTTTAAGTCTTCAATTTTCTCCTCCAGCAACTTGATGAGGTCTTTAAAAGCAAACAAGTAAATCCACCCTCCCAAGCCAGCTAGCCCCAGCCCTGGCCGAGTTTCCCAGGGCTGCTTTTTGTTGTGGCATTCTGGAATCATCCCACTTCATCTCTCACCTGAATCTTGTCATCTCGGCCATCTTGAAGTGATCTGTGAACAATGCTGATCCCTGCGACAGACCCGCTGGTCAATCAGGCAGAACAGACTATGCAAATGTTGTGGAGAGGCGAAGCGCCGGGGAACACTGGCGCCCATTGTCTTGGGCATTTCAAAGCCGGAGCAGCTGCGCAGACTTGTCGCCTCGGACCCTCGGTTGCCACACTAATGTCATCATTGCAAAACATCAGATTTTGAAAACTATACAATCCGAATTCATTAGCAGACTCTAGGCAAAGGTTTCCCTTCTCCACGACAAGTTTCAAACTCCAGATTCCCTTCTGTTGGGAGGGGAAAGGGAAAGGGGAGTTTTGCAAGTGACAACGGCTGATGATCCATAAGTTCCTCTTTCTGGCTGATTCGAAAACTTTAAAACTTGTCCTTGGGGTTCTGAGCTCTGACCTGAGTCATGCGACTCTGAACTTTCGAGGTTTTCACGTTCTCCCTTAAGTGTTGCTTGCAAGTTCAAATTCACTGAGAGCCGCCAAGATAACGCGTGGAGTGAATTTAACAAAGACACCATCTTCTGCTTTCATGATAACACCAGTGAGAGTTTTGGAAGTAATTTTCTTTAGATTGATCTCTCAAAACAACACATGCTAGAGCAATTGTATCCCTAAAGCAAACAAATTAGTTACACAGACAACGACGTTCCTCATTGGCGCTGCTACAAACAGCTCACCAACTTTGAGTGTCCACCATGACGCGCGTCTTAGTTGATTTATGTAATTGTTTTATTCCCCATTGCTGAGACAACGAATCTTCTCCCTCCCTATTGCCTCGCTCCACCCCCAACTTCCAGGGTGACTTCGTTTATCTAGAATCAAGGCGGCTGGAGGGATGCGCTTGGTGCTCACGGCAGCGGCCCGTGGGGTGGGTTCTGGGCGTCGGGGCGCGGGTGCGGAATGCGCCGGGTCCCGCCGGACCCGCACCTGCCGGCGTGCAGCTGCGCTTTCCAGACTGCTGGGAGGCCCAGGGCGCCAGCTCTCCTATCAAACTTGTGTTCTCCACCGGCGCACCGATCTGTTAGCGTGTCCTTCTGCTTATTTACAGTATTCCATATCCTCTATCCTATCCCTATCTCTTCTGTGGGCTGGAGAATTTTTCCGGGAAAAGCCAGTCAACACGGAGAAAAGCCAATCAATGCCAGGCCAATTCCTAGCCGGGGCTGAGAGTTAAACATCGAGGCTGAACGTGGCAGAAGGGTCGGGTTCTACCCTGTACGCCCCGCGGCCTGTTAAGCTTCCCGTTTCTTGACAAACTGAGGTGGTAGAATTTGGAAGGGCAGTGCAACCACATAACGTTTTTGTAAACACAACAAGGAGAACAGGGAAGTAAATGGAGAAAAGGCCCCATCGGGTGTGTCTTGTTTGGTTAAGGGGTGAAGGTGGAAGCTTTTATTGCATCCAGGGAAAAGTTCTTCGAAAATATGCACACTTTTGGAGAAACTGAACTAGAACACTCCCTAAAAAAATTGTATGATTTGGGTCTCGAGGTTCCAGACTGCGGTTGCTCATCGAACCTCCCGACTGGGCCTGTACCCTCCAGGCGTCCTCGCTCTGCACGACTCACTGACTCATCCCGTGCCAGCAAAGCCCGCAATGACTACAGCAGAGGTCGAAGCCAGAAGCGAACTTTCTGGAAGTCCTGGCTTGTGGGGAGACAGGACGCCAAGGATGATGTGAGTTCCAGAGAGAGTTTTTGCCGGGTTGGATCACCAGTGTCTCTCCAGGGTGTAGACAGCGCCTGGTTCATTGGGAGTGTCCAAAATGTGTTTGCGGAAGCATTAAAGAGGCCCTGGTGCAAGGTGGAGCTGATGGCCGCTGGAAAATTTCAGTGGCTAAGGTGGGCCTCTTCCTAGCAGGGGCTGCTCCCGGGCGCTCACTCTGGTTGGGCCAAGCGCCCTGCGAGCTGGTGAGCTTGGTCTTGTCCTTACCTTCCTCTCTTTCTCACACACATTCATTTTCACACACACCACGCGCATTCTTACGCACTCATATACCCACAGGACACACACTATACACTCACACGTGCACACATACCAGAATCTCTCACACACACAGATGCATACTACACAGAGCTACACAAGTTCCCTCTCACACATGATTTACACACACACTCTCTCTCTCTCTCTCTCTCTCTCTCTCTCTCTCTCTCTCACACACACACACACACACACACACACACACACTCACACTCCCTTGGGGTGTTGCGGGTAACAAGCTGGCTGAGTACCGGAAGGGGCTTGTGGCTGTGGCTCCTCCTCATGGGAGGAGAAATCATAAAGCTGGTAAGAATACTCTGATATGGTCGGTACCCACAGAGATGAGTGAGCAAATCCTTATAAAAATTCAACAAGTACAGCAAAAAAGTGATGTTGATGAAGGACAAGGGCAGTTGATTTCTGAACCTTTTTCTTCTGACCTCTCAGAGCCAGCTTCCTGTCAAGCTTGCCAATGGATTGATTATCACTTTGTATTCAACACTTCCAGGATTATGCTTTCTCCCAGGATATTTTCCTTGGCTGCCCACTTAGGCTTCTGTTATCCAAGGTGGTAGCCACCAGGCACGTGTGGCTACTGAGCACTTAAAATCTGGCTGGTCCAAATGGAGATGTGCTGTGAGTACACAACGCATATCAGATTTCAAAGATGTAGCGTGAAAGAAAGCATGTAAAATACCTCCCTAATAATTTAA